ACGTTAAAAAAAATTTTTTAAAGTGGTACATCCACTCTGGAGAATAGTTTGGCAGTGCTTAAAAAGTTAAATATATACATCATATGATCCAACCATTCTACTCCTAAGTATTTATTCAAGAGAAATGAAAGCATATGTCTACACAAAAATTTATACACTAATGTTCATGGCACTTCTGCCATATTTGTAATAACCCAAAACTGGAAACAACCCAATGTCAGTAGGGAAATTGATAAACAAACTGTGGTGTGTCCATTCGATGGAATACTACTTGGCAATAAAAGGAATGAACTGTTGATAATACACAGTAGTGTGGATGAATCTCTAAATAGCCCTGCTGAATGAGAAACCTCAAAATACTGGATCAGTTGTGGTAGTGTCCAAGGGGGAAAAAGCCCTGAAAGACAAGAGTACATACTGTTTGATTGCACTTACATGAAATTTTTCAAAATGCCAACTAATCCTTAGTTACAGATCAATGATTGCTTGAAGATGGGAGGTGTAAGAGTTTCAGGGAATGGTTATGAAGTTCAGAGGAAACTTTTGAGGGGGACAGATATGTTCATTATCTTGATTGGGGTGATGGTTTCACAAATACACATATATGCCAACACTTATCTAATTGTACATATTATATATATATGCAGCTTATTTAAGTAAATGTTATATTCCAATACAGTTGCTATAAAAAAATTACACATTTCTGAGAGAGTAATAGATCCTTTTGTACTTCTACTTTTCTCCCTCTCCTACTTTAGTTTGCCTGATTGGATGGAGAAGTTGAGGTGCCCAGACACCCAAGGATCACAGCATCTCATAGATTTGCTTATCCTCTTCTGCTTTGTAGCGAGAAAGGGTAGAGGATGGGAGTGAAGTCCCTGTAAATGCTCCCTTCATCACACCTTTTTTCGTTGCTTTATGTACCTTCTAGGAAGCTCATTCCTTGAATGCATTTGCTGTTCCTTTCAGCTGGTTCACTGCAAATACTCTTGCTGATGTCCCTCCAACTTGGAATGCTGTTACCCACAACTTGAGCAAACAAATTTCCACAAACTTCATGACTTAAAAACAACAGAAATTGTATTATCACGATTCTGGAGTCCAGAAGTCTGAAATCAAGATTTTAGCAGAGCTGTGCTCCCTCCAAAGGCTTTAAGAAAGATTCCTTCCTTTCCCCTTCCAGTTTCTGGTGGCTCCAGATGTTCGTTGGTTTATAGCCACATTACTCCAGTCTCAGCCTTCATCTTCACATGGCCTTTCTGTTATGTCTCTCAAATTTCCCTGTCTCTCTGATAAGGACACCTGTCATTAGAATTAGGGCCCACTTTAAATCCATGATGATCTTATCTTGAAATCCTTAATTACATTTGAAAAGACTTTTTTTCAAGATAAGGTCACATTCTGGGGCTCAAGACTTGGACATACTTTTTTGGGAGCCATTGTTCAGCTCATTACAGCCATCCACATCTTCAGATTTCCAGGGATAAGGAAATTTACCCTAGATTTCAGGGTAAGGCATACAACATTATCATAGGACCTAGGATATATGGATAGGATCTAGAAGTGTTTCAGCCTGTGAAGACGTTTTGCTTGGGCCTCTCTGATATCCCAGTGATCTCTCAGAAGGAAATGATCTGACCTCTTTTGCCCCCTTCTGTTGTTATAGTGATGGCTTATAGCCTCTGGGCCATTCATAGTCCAATTAATTTGGCAGATGGCTAGTGAACTCAAGGTCTTAGTAGTCCTAGGTCTTAGAAGAAAGGAACATTTATTGGATCCTTAATCTGTGCCAAGACTTCCACTTTAATACCACAAAGATCCTACAAAATATGTTGTAGTCTTCCCATTTTATAAATGAAGAAACTAGTTAGAGAACTTTCCTTATTTGCCCAGAATCACATAGTTAATAAGTGGCAAGGCTAGGCTTTGTACTGAGGTCTCCTGGTTCCAAAGCCTAGTAACATTGTTACATATAGGACTGGTATAGGAATGTTCCATACCATATAACCCAGGGAAGATGAGTGATCAGAGGCACTCATGAGTAAAACTTGTGCTTCTGCACTTAAGACCATTACTATTTCCTTCTTACAATATCCCCTTGGTGATAAATAACTTGATAGTGGCACAAGAGTGGCACCCAGTGGCTTCAGCTAAAAATTACAAGGGTCAAATTCTTTTACCTCTGGACCAGTCCCTCAGTTTCTATTTTTATTTCTTTAAATGTTTATTTATATTTGAAGGGGGGGGGGG